GAGATATCCAGTATCTCATCGCCCCTAGGCATGCCTGGTTTTTCATTCGGATATCTGGCTCGCCAGTTAGGTTCTAGTCTTGTCAAAAGCGAATTTACAATGTGTCTTGCTAAAAATTTCTGACCTGTAAAAATATACACATTAAGATATTCTTATATTATCTCATAATCATAATGAGTCTAATTTCCGAATATAGATCATACCAACAAAATTTTAGTCACGAGATTAAGCTTGACCTACACAGTATTGACCAATTTTACATATTTTATTTTAATCAAAATATTTTAGGAAAACAAAACATAAATTAATTATAAATATACAAACAGTTATATACATGTTACCTCGACGCTTTAATGCTTATAGGATAGACAGTGGGTTCAATATCGGTGCAAGTCTGAGTTCAATATGATGGCGAAAAACCGCACATCGATAATTGTTACCGTCGCTGGGTGTTTTCAAAATATGCATTTTTAACAAAAAAAAAAAAAAAAAAAAAATGGAAAATTTTGTATTTTTATGAAACATTTCCAAAGTAACCTTTACGTAGAATTTAATGGTTTAAGTATAATTTTTAAAATTAATAATTTAAATTACCAACTGAAAAATTTGATTTTTATACTGGGACACCCTGTATATTTTTAATTAACTGAAAAGAATTTAAACACCTTCCAAAAAATATAGCACACTTCATATTTTGTTTTGTAATAATCCCCTTCGAAATACAGAATTTTTAAAAGTTCGCCACTTTTAACTAGTAGGCTTTGGACCCCTCATTGATGATATGCCCTTAATGGAACTCGAAACCATATTTTTCCAGCAAGACAACGCACCGCCTCTGAACGCTGAAGTTATCAGCAAATTTCTACAGCCAATTTCAAGAATAATTGAATAGCTGACCAAGAACCCAGCCGTTGGTCGTCGAGGCCGCCTGACTTAGTGCCCATGAATCTAATCCTATGGATATATTTGAGGAAGAATAAAGGTTCCTTATTCTTCTGTATAATCTAGACAAGAATTAGAAATACTTAGCAGTTATGAGAGGGTATCTTTCACCCCCACTTAGTTAATGAATTCCGCGAGAAATGTTCAAAAACTGCCCCGTCTGTCCATAACAGAAGATGGTCGATATGTCGAACACCTGTAGCAAAATCTCATGTCCTGGTTTGCCATTTATTTTTATTGTTATTAGATATACCGTATGATCGAAAAAAAACGGCGTCCAGTTGGCTTGGAAATGACGATCGATGACATTTCCCATATAATTTTACATTTAAAATGACAGCGATCTTCATTTCTAACGCCGTTTTTATTCGATCATACGGTAGTTTAAATGTGTTGATGTCGGTTAAATATATTTTAAATTGTTATAAAATTCTGCATCTCTCATAGCAAATATTATTTTCGTTTTAATTGATGCTCATAGCTTGAATTTTTTTACATTACAGCCGGTGCCGTTCAAAGCCTACTTATTTAAAGCGGGCGAATTTTTATATACTCTATATCTCGAAGAGGAATCGAGCAAAATATCAAGTGTGTTATATTTTTGGAAAGGTAATTTTAAATTCTTTTCAATAAATAAAATATACAGGGTGTCCCATATAAAAAATCAATTTTTCTGTTGATAACCCTTAAATTATTAATTTAAAAAAAATTAAACTAAAACAATTAAATTCTACGTAAAAAGGCGCTTTGGAAATGTTTTCATAGAAATACAAAATTTTCCATAGCAAAAAAGTTACAGCGATTTGTTAAAAATGCACATTTTTGAAAAACACCCCGTAACTCCGAAACGGTAACAGATATTGCTGTGCGGTTTTCACCATCATGTTTTTGATGAAAATTGAGCTCCAGACACCGATATTAGTTTTCGTCTATCTCCTATAGAAAAGGGTGTTTCCATTTAAAAGCGTCGAATTTGACCCACCCTGTACAGGGTGGTCGAAATTAGTCTGTTTTAACAGAGAAAACAGATTTCCTGACTAGATAGAGCAAAACCGACATAGATGTCATGGGCTCGATTTCTGAGATACGTTTAATTGCGTAAACCGCTTGTTGATATTTTCACAGCCAACAGAGATACGGGGCCTTTTTAAATTTTTTACCATTTTGAAAATTGCCCATAACTTACTATTTCGCGTAATAATAAAATTCTGTAGAAACGTCCTTAAGGCACTTTTTTAAGCACAATCCAGTGACGTACTCAGTTTTTTTCTATGCTTGCTCTTTTTGTCAGAAATAATAAAAAATATAATTTTTTAAATAGAAATCGTAGTTGGCTATGAACTTAAAAAAATGCTGGCGTTTAACCCTTTCGAACAATATAAAGTTATGGGTATCTATTTTTAAGAATGAGAGAAATATGAGGGTTTTTATCTTTATATCGAAGCGGGCTTTGATTATATTTATGATATGATATAATATTATTTTATTATTTATCTGCATAATTAAAGACTTTTGAAAAGGTAAATTAACATTCTATTATTATTAGTATTAGTAATTATAACTGAAATCGATACAATAAACAAAGAACAAAACTAAAAAAACGTATTTTTTGAGTGACGAATATAGTTTTCTAAAAAAATCAGTAATGTTCAAATTGAGCACCTCCTTGTTGAATACACAATAAACATCTTTTGCGCACAGAGTTACAACGATTTATTAGGCGAACTGGTTTAATAAGTCCAAAAGCTTGCCTAGTATCCTTCTGCAATTCTTCTCTTGTCCTAATGGTTCTTCCTTTATATATAAGGTCTTTTAATTTCCCCCATAAAAAAGTCGAAAGGAGATAAATCACAGGACCTGGGAGGGAAAGATATGGGCCCCTTGTTCCAACCAATTCTCTCTAAATTCTCCATTTAATAGTTCAGTTGTAACTCTAGCGTTTTAATTGTAATTGGTAATACTAATGTTACGGATTCCGTGGGTCCACTATTTAAACTCACGATAAAATACTTAACGAATTTATTTGTTTCACTCTGTACACACAACTTATACTATTTACAACACAACTTATGCAACTACTATTACTCTAACGGTATTTCGCGGTATTTTCAAACTTCAGACTTCAAACTTTAAACTTGTCCAACTGGCCGTTAAAGCTAGTAATTATTTAAAATAAAATTTTAGACACTCTGTATAAGGTAGTGTAACTTTTATTATTGCAACACAATAACTAGGGCAACGGCCCAGCTACGTCGAAACACCGGTTCCCATTAGAACACCGAAGTTAAGCGACGTAAGGCGATGCTCGTTTATGGACGGGTGACCGGTTCGAAACTTTGCATCGTGCTGTTGTCCAAGGGAAAAGTGTAAAATCTATTGATACACACTGCTCATTCACGCCGGTTCGAGGCCGGATGAGATCGGATATCTCGTGAGTAAGTGTTAATTTAGACACTTCCTAAGTCGGTAGGCCATTGACCATGATATGGCCGAGGACCGCGGTTCGGAATCGGCGTAAACAAAGTAGGTCCCGTCCAGTTTAGCCATTGCAGCAGAAAGGAGACGTTAACTTGAACCTCACAAACACAATAACTGATCAATAAATAAACTTCAGTAAATATTTAGTATTAAAAACTTTGATACCCTTCGAGAAATGAGGCCTTAAAGTTTTGACTGCAATTTCACAAAATTGAAAATATTTCAAAAACGGTAAGGTTTAAGTGTAATAAACCTTTATCAAGTTTACCTTTATTTTAATCGTAGAAACTAAAAATGCAATAATATACAGGGTGTTCCGTTTAAAAAAATACAACTTTGATATTTTATATTTATTTGGGACACTGTGTATCTTATAAAAATATTTTTAAATTGTAGCTCTAATAGTCCTTCAACGAACCCAAAACTTACAATTTGTAAAAATTTAATCGTTTAGCTACAATACTCCGTGTCGTATGTGGTGAACGACCCTGTATATTTTATTTTTGAACTGTTAAACTGAATCTCTTTATAACGAAATTTATTATAACGGGATGGGTTTGCAAATGTCTAAAAGCTTGCATTATTCAAGCATTTTCCAGGTGTTCGGCATTGTTGTAGTTGCCAGGATATATTTCATATTTCAAAAATCGCCAAAATCAGATATCGAGAACGGACAAATCCAGGAAACAGGGAGGCCACCATATGGATCTATTGGTTCCAATTCATTGATTTGAGAAATAATAATGTAACAAAATTCTAATATTTTTAAAGTTGTGAGGGGGAACCCCATTTTTCCACAGATTTGACTGAAATTATAATTTTGAGAACTTTTTATTTTTTTAGTCAATTATGATAGGCATTGATAATTTCGATTCCAAATATCTCGAGAATAATTACTCGAAGCGATTTCTACCAAGAGACCTTTTTTACGTAAAAAACGTCGTAAATGTATACATTTTTACTCAGTACTTTTATACAGGTACGGACGAAAAGTTATTGCTCTTCAAACCAGTTAAAACACATGTAGGTGGCGCCCTTAACAAGTAGGAGTCATATTAACATCAAAATCAAATTTCTCCTGTCAAAAAACTCCCAGACACCAATTTTCATCCAAATATTGACGTTACTTCAAAAATTGTTTGGAAAAAATCGAAATAAAAGTGAATCTTCTACACCCTGTATCTCCGAAACTGAGCATTTTAGGACATACATTTATACGAATTTTTTTACTTATTTTTATCTGCAGAATATGCTGCCGAAGTTTCCGGAATACAGTTCGGACCACCCTGTATATCAAAAATGACACGCGTTCGAAAAAAACGGAGAACACAATCTCATTATAGGTAAAGAAAATCGTAGTCAGTTTTTTTTTTCTCTCAATAAGAGACATTAAACTTGCAGATTCACCTAAAAAAACTCACTTATAGAGAAACCTCTACTGATATTGAATAACATCTCCCATGTTATTCAAAATTATATTAGATATGGTCAAACACCAAAGAAAAGGCTCTAAATACAATCAAACGGCTCTAAAAGCTTCAAATTCAAACGATATATGTATATGCGCGCGCTGTGGCTCTAAAATTCGTCTAGTACGGTCCATGTCTACCAGAAGCTTCGTTCCCCTCAACGATTGCATCTATAAGTCAACCAGGTAGTGAATATACGCAATTTTTCATCAAAAAACAGACTTTGTACATAGAAAAATGAATAATTTACAGTACTTGTTCGGGTTTTTGTGCCTCTGTGTAGTGTACGTGCAGAAAAGTAAGTAAAATAACTATTTCACTTCTTTTTTTAATTAAAAAAGTATGTTTAAAGTTCAAAACATGCGACTGTAGCGTCGAAAGTCTATTTTTAAACGTAAATTTAGCGAGCGCTGAATTTGCATTTGTGCAAGCATAGTTATTTGAGAAAACAACTTTAATCGCCGATATATAATTAAATAATTAATAATTTTCTTTATTTAAATATTATGTAGTTATTCTATTTAGAAAAAGGGGCAAACTATTGTTTTCATGCAATGATTTTTTAGATTCAAATAAAATTGTTCGCGTTTTTTTCTTTATTTCATTTTATTTTTGTACCGCGCAAGTCAGATTAGTAATCAATAGCATGCCCTTCTGTACCTCTCTGTTCCATTGCGGAAAAATATAGAAATATTCATATATATCGGGTGGTTCAAATAAAGATAGCAGAGTGGGCAAACTAAAAGAAATAACAAACAATGAATTAAACAAAAAAAAAATATATTAGAAATTATTTTTATTATTTTAAGAAATTATATTACTGAAGAAACGCCTTTTAATTTTTAGGACTTAAGTTACTTAGTTTTTTTTTAATTTTCTCTAAAACTAAAAAAAATCTCTAAAAATTATTATTAATTGTTACTCTCTTATTTAAAAGTGAATATCTTCAACAAAAAAAACGAGCTATTGCGATGAATCAAAAAATAAACATTCGAGAAAAGATACACCTTGGAGATAAAGTAGGTTTTAAATTCTTTACTTTGGTAAATCATTCCACAGGATGTTTCAAATTTTCGCCGAAATAACAACATTTTGATTTGCCTCGAATTATAGACAGATGGGGGCTTTAATTTTCAATGTAGAAGGAGGTTAAAAAGTCAAATAACTCAGCTACAAATTGCTTAAAAAATCATCAAAATCGGTCCAATAGAATAAAATATATTGACATTTAAAATTCATGAAAATTTTAAGGTGCTCGTTTTTCGTGCTCATCAGTGTATTTGTACTAAATGGTTAACAATAAGTCTATTCTATAGACTTACCATTCATAATAAATTGTATTTAAGTAAGGCAATAGTTTAGGACACAAAAGCTATTTTGTCTGCTCTTATACATTGACATTGGTACTAATTCTGTATTATGTAACACTTTCCATTCAGAATACACAGTGTCTCAAATATAAACGCACACTACAGATATCTCGTACTACGGCATTCTCGTTAAAGATAGTGATTAAATCGTTATGATTAAATCAGAACAAAGCTGCACTTTGTTGAACCCTGACAATGTTTTTACCATAGACTTAAAATAAAATATAGACTACACTATTTACAACTCAACGCGGACAAACATTCTTTTTTGTACACATGTTTACTTCTGGGTACAGTCGACCGAGCCCTCCTCATCCAGCCTATGTTGTCACGTCTTTAATATTATCAATATTTTTTTTCTTGTTATACACATATATTGAGATATTAATACTACAGTTTAATAAAGTAGGTTTTAATATTCCATAGATGTATTAAATAGTCCTTATACTACTAAATTATAAGTCGGATACTGTTTAAAAAGGATAAGTTCTTTACAATATGATAACACCGATTAGAGGCGAGGGAGCCTATTCATTCATTTATTACCTTGTAGTACGCGTGGCAAGTGTGCGGTAAAGCTTTGATGCCGCTATGTCCCCGGCTGTATTAACGCATTTTCTTAGTTTGTAGTCCTTAAGTGTTTATTTTATTGACTTTTTCTGTTCAAGAACTATAAAATATGGTTCGCCAGTGCCAAATTTGCAAGAAATTTGACTTAAATAATCCATTTAAGTCTTGAAACGACTTTCGACCGGTAGACAACTCTCAATTTGCCCATTGGGAGCCAGTGGCGTTGTTGTAGAAAGGCGCTTATTTAGATAATATTTTAGTAAAATGTAAAATCTGAATTTTTTCTCATTACATTATTTACTTACTTACATTGTAACAAAGTCATAATTATAACCCTGTTAATAATTAATAATGATTTTATTAAAAATATGGTTTATTCTAAAATTATCTTGAGCATATAAAATAACATACAAGAATTTTAAATTGATATTACATTATGAAACAATATTTTTTAATATACCGGGTCGTCTCAAAAGTGGCTCACCCCCTATAACTTTTTTATTTTTTCAGATAAAAAAAACAGATTTGTATGTTATAGGTATATGACATAAATTAGGATTTATTGATGTATTCAGTTGTTTTTGGTCTCTTCCTGTTTCACCGAAATGATTACATCTTTTTATTTTTAAAGGCAACCTCGGTATATTGCTACTTTATTCGATAAAAAATGACACTCTGAATAGAATGACATATCATATGTCAACTTTTGACATTGTCGCTGAAAAACAAATCGTATTTTAAATTTCAATCCAGGGTGCCATGGTGTTGTTAAAAACACTAAGTTTTAATCAAGGAGCCTTGGAAAAATAGTTTTGATCGTCTAATAGGTTTCGTGTCTTGTCTAAGTCGGTTAAAATATGTACAAATCGTATTTTTAATCATACATATGTCAATTTTTTCAAATGGAACAAGGGTGACTCATTAGCATATTTGGAAAAAGCATTTTTTTATGAATATATTGATACCACACACTTGGTATTTCGAGTCAAATTGTCGTTATGAACCACGTGTTACAATTACAATTAAACCATATGCGAAAATGTCAAAAGTTGACATATGATATGTCATTCTATTCAGAGTGTCATTTTCTATCAAATAAAGTAGAAATATACCGAGGGTGCCGTTTAAAAATTAAAAGTTATAGTCATTTCCGGTGAAACAGAAAGTGACCAAAAACAATTGAATGCGTCAATCAATCCTAATTTATGTCATATACTAACATACTAAATCTTGTTTTTTTATTTGAAAATATAAAAAAATTATGGGGTTGACCACTTTTGGGACGCACCCGGTATAATAAAGACAGTACCGAGTTAAATAAATGTAGTTTTCATTTTATCCACTTCCTATCACCTTCCTTGCTTTAATCGAACAGATATATGTTTTCTCTAATTTACATAATAAGACATCACTTAACCAGAAAAAAATTACAACAATTATATTTTTTTTCTCTCCCTGTCGCCGATTCTATTATATCTGTGGAATAGATCCTGTTTTGATTAATATTAGGGGTTGTAAATGTTTGACTAAAATTAATAATTTTTAATTAATTTCAAAAATTACGTAATTTCGACTATAAAATTTCTTCTATAACGTGTATTTTATTATTTTTATCCTTTTTGGACTCTAAGACGTTTTTTCTAAACTTTTATTTAAAAAACCTGTCCTAAATCTCAATAAAATATAAAAAAGTTTAAATACGATATATTTTTAATTTAATTATAGCTTCATTAAAATAAAAAAATTACCCGGCTATGATACGGAGAGTTCAGGTGTACTTGAGAAACGAAAGACAGTGTTGTGTTTCTCGGCAGAGTCGTCAGGGAACGACCGTTACGACAGAGACAACCTATCTATCGCTCGTGTCGCACTCGTTATAACCTAAAACAATAACACAACAATAACAAGACATTGTCTGACCGCATGTTCCAGCTATTTATGAATGAGATGCTCAGTCTATATTTTATTTTAAGTCTATGGCTTTTACTTATAGGTAATGCTATAACATGCTACGAATGTAACAGTGCTCAAGATAAAAGATGTCTCGGAGATCTCAACAATCAGCTCAGCGACGACCTCAAGAAACCCTGTCCTGAGAAGAAGGGAGACAAACCGTACACTTTGTGCAGGAAGATCAAGCAAGTGATTGATTTTGAAGTCAATGGACGTAAGTTATCCATTTTTTGGCTTCTTTTAATAAGACACATTCAATTTCTTTATTAAAACTTTCAAAAACTACAATTTTCAACCCAAAATACACACTAAAATTTCACTAAGTTATAAAAACTTGAAGATTAAGCTTTTGAGATGATTAAAACTAGTTTTAATCATCTGGTGATGATGCTAACATGGTTAGCAAAGCGCGCATCCAGTGCAAAAATTAAGTCTTTTGGTGGTGTATTGCGGTGTACTGTGGTAAATCAAGATGTTTTATTTTGCTGTTGTCAGTTTTGTTGTTGTAAGTTGCAACCAAACCAAACACACAAACGTTCCAATCCTCCACTGTAACAAGTGCAAAATCAAGATCAAGAGTCTCTTGGTATTGGTGTCTTGGTTGTAAAAGTTTACTAAGGGCAGTTTCTACATAAAAGAACTTTAAGTAAATCATTTTTCTTAAAAGAAAATAAAAATAAAATTAAAAAAAAAATCCTTACTAATATATAAAATCCTTAAAGTGACTGACTCACTGATTAATCACGATCCTGCTCAAACCACTCAACGTAAGAAGCTCAATTTTGGCATACAGGTTGATTCTAGGGTGTAGAGGTTCGATAAGAAGGGATTTTTCGAAATTCCAGTTCCAAGGGGGTGAAACCACCCCTCAAATATTACAATATTTTTTATTTAAAAAACGGTCAAGTTTCCGAGAAAACGCTTAAACACGTATATTTTATTTTGTTTTTTACATATTTGAGATTTTTTAAAAATGTATACAGGGTGTTTCGAAAAATCTGGTCATTGATTAATCACGATCCTGCTTAAAACGCTTGACGTAAAAAGCTGATTTTTGGAAAACGGATTGACTTTAGGGTGTAGAGGTTCGATAAGAAGGGATTTTTCGAAACTCGAATTCTAAGGGGGTGAAACCACCCCTCAAATATTAGATTATTTTTTATTTAAAAACCGGTGAGTTTCTCGGAAAAACTTTTAAACACGTATATTTCATTTTGTTGTTTTACAGACTTTAAGATTTTTAAAAAATTTATACAGGGTGTTTCATAAAATATGACCGTTGAGTAATCACGATTCTGCTTAAACTGCTTGACGTTTAAAGCTGATTTTTGACAAACGGATTGACTGTGGGGTGTAGAGGTTCAATAAAGAGGGATTTCTCGAATCTCAAATTCCAAGAGGGTGAAAACGCCAAGCCAGTGAAATGGGGTGAAAATGATTTTTATCTTTCATATTTAGTAACTGCCAAAATATAATAATATCGCCATATTATTTTTTCTCATGCTCACATAAACGTGAGAAAATTTTATCCAGTTTGTATGTTAATGGAAATTCTTGCTTTACTTTATCATCACCATTACAAATGATTAATTCGACGCGAACGAAGTCGCGGGTACACGCTAGTTTAATATAAATGAAACTTTGCTAATTTTTGTTTGATGAATCAGCATTACTTCGTTTAAAAAATTATACCAAGCTGGGAAAGGACTATTTTCAATACATTAAAAAAACAATAATTTTGAACAAATGAGTAACTTTTTATATCAATAGTAGGGCAATAGTTCTGAAGAAACATTTTTTCGGTCATAAAAATAACTATTATTACTAAATATTGTTAATAATTATTTTTATTTTTAGTTCAACCAGATAGCAGAGTGATCAGAACCTGCGGCTACGAAGACTCGCAATACCAAAACCGTTGCTACCAAAGATCAGGGTTTGGTGGGAGACAGGAAGTCTGTGCCTGTCAACATGACAGCTGCAACGGAAGTGCATTCACCGTTGCTTCCACATCTTTAATCGCTACACTTTTGATTTTGTTGAGAATAAACTTATTTTAAGCAAGCCAGCAACAAAGGAGAATAATTTTTAAAAGTAAATTTCTGCAATAAATTAACAAACCAAAATCACCTGGAAAATATCAGTAAAAATAATATTTTTCAAATTATGTTGAAAACAAAAACAGTTATTGTTATTGGTAGATGCTTTATTAGACTAAAAATAAATACTTAGATATTTGTGAAGAAAGTTTAAAAGAATTACTAATTAATAGTAAGTCTAAGGAAAAAGTACATTGTTCAAAAAATAATAATCTTAAACGTCAGAAAGAACGAATATTGTTTTATATATTATCTACAGAAAAAATTATATTAAATAAATTTAACTTTATTGCATTTGATTTGTAAGGTCATATACTCTACTTTTTGATATTTTAACAAAAAAAATTTGTTAGATTTGTTTGAATTTTTGTAATATTTATATATTATTACTATTAACTTCAGTATTAAGGATAGATATATAACTAATAATAATAAAAAATAAATATAATATAAATAAAACATACTAGAAGCAACCTAGTCACAGTAATATTAAGTTTTTTTATTAATTTAAAATGTTTGAATAATAATAATAATAAATATTGTTGTTCACGGAATATTTGTTAATGATCTACATGCTAAATAGCTGCTAAAAATATATAATTATATTTGTGTAGATATTTAAGATTTAGATGAGAAATATTAACAAAAAAATTTTTGAAATGAACTTTGATTTTATATAGTTACTTCTCAATAATAAAAAAAACGAATATTTGTATTACTTAAAGGTAATATTAAGGTATTATAAGAATTAGATGCTTCTTGTCCAAAATTATATAATTTTATATTATTTCATTAAAAAATATTGTATAATTTTTTTCATTAGGTACTGTATACTACTTTATTTGTTATATATTTTTAGAATCCACTGCCTGTAAGAAATTAGGTTTTTAAAAATACAAACTACCAAATAATTAAAGTTAAGGGGCTTTTTCTTGGTTGAATATATTATTAAAAAATGTGAAATATAGATATTTAAAAAAAATAAAGAAAAAAGGCTCCATAATAAACACATCATCTTGTTTCAAAACAGCATATCGCAAGTTGAAAATAAAACAATTAGTTAATAAATTTGAAGAAGTTTTATTTAAAATTGTCATGTGTCAATAGAGAAATATACAGGGTAGTCCAATGTTCCTAAAAAGTTCCATATTGAGTTACATACTTGAGATTTTCAGTCTAGTCTTTTTATAAGTTATGCAGATATTAGTAAAGCATATTTTAGTACAATATGCGAATACACTTAGCGAAAAAAATATTCAACTTTCAACTGAAAGAACTGAAATTTTTGTGAATCTACAGGGTGTCCCATGGATACAAGCCAATATCTTGGTTGTATGTTGAGCGATCTTTTTCATTTTTGGCAGGAGGCTGTATGGCTATAAGACGTACATTTTGCCCAGGGTAAGAAATGCGATACCTCATAGACGTACGTTATAATGGGGTTTGATATTTTTCGAGTCAAGAGTAAACTACCCTTAGGACAGTATTTTTTTCAAATCTGATAAATTATATTGAATCCTCCTTACCTAAGATACTTAAGTTCTAATTTTTATAAATATTGCTACAGGGTGTGTCATTAAAATAAGACAGCCCAAGATATTGGCTTGTATCCATCTTAAGTGAGACACCCTGTATACGAGGTTATTCACCCTTATTCAACACTGTAGCCAAATGATTAGATTTTTAGAATGGAATCGAGCGAAGAGGAATCGAGCAAAATATCAAGTGTGTTATATTTTTGGAAAGGTAATTTCAAATTCTTTTCAATAAATTAAAAATATACAGGGTGTCCCATATAAAAAATCAAATTTTTTCTTGATAATTCTTAAACTATTAATTTAAAAAGAAATGTACTTAAACCATTAAATTCTACGTAAAAAGGTGCCTTGAAAATGTTTTCATAAAAATACAAAATGTTCCATAGCAAAAAAGTTACAGCGATTTGTTAAAAATGCATATTTTTGAAAAACACCCTGTAACTCCGAAACGGTAACAGATATCGATATGCGGTTTTCACCATCTTGTTTTTGACAAAAATTGAGCTCCAGACACCGATATTAGTTTTGGTCTATCTCCTATAGAAAAGGGTGTTTCCATTTAAAAGCGTCGAATTTGACCCACCCTGTACATGTACAGAGTGTCTAAAAATGTATATTAAATAACTAGCGTGTACCCGCGACTTCGTTCGCGTCGAATTAATCATTTGTAATGGTGATGATAAAGCAAAGCAAGAATTTCCATTGGCATACAAACTAGATAAAATTTTCTCACATTTATGTCAGCATGAGAAAAAACAATATGGCGATATTATTATATAACTTGGTAATATTTGAGGGGTAGTTTCATCTCGTTGGAATTTGACTTTCGAAAAATCCGTTTGCCAAAAATAAGCTTTTTACGTCAAGCAGTTTAAGCAGAATCGTGGTTAATCAATTACCCAACTTTTGGAACACCCTGTATAATTTTTTAAAAATTCAAAATATGTAAAAAAACAAAATAAATTATGCGTGTCCAAGCGTTTTCCCGAAAGACTAACCGTTTTTAAATAACAAATATTGTAATATTTGAGGGGCGTTTTCACCCTCTTGGAATTTGAGATTCGAGAAACCCCTCCTTATCGAACCTCTACACCCCACAGTCAATCCGTTTGCCAAAAACCAGCTTTAAACGTCAAGCCGTTTAAGCAGAATCGTGATTACTCAGTGGTCATATTTTATGAAACACCCTGTATAAATTTATAAAAAATCTTAAAATATGTAAAACAACAAAATAAAATATACGTAAAAACGTATAAAGTCAATCTGTTTGTCCGATTAAATGTATATCTCCGAAACTAAAGTTCCAAAAAAATTCGTAATATATCTAGAAATTCATTTACCCACTAGTAGTTATAAAAAGCATTTTTGAAAAACTCTGTCTCCTATAGTTTCTGAAAGTGTTTAAATAAATTATGACTTTCTATCCACACGGAACCGACGAAAAACGTAACAATTGGTGTCAAGTGTGGCGTGTGTGATAGACTAGAAAAATAAAATGACAGACAAAATGTCATGTTGGATTAATATTTTTTTTTCAAATTTAGGTGTGAAATTTTCTTACCGAATACCACGCAAGCTTAAATTATTCCTGGAAATTTTCTTTCGGGCACGAATATTTTAGGAAAATTATCCCTCGTCTTCGACTCAGGATAATTTTCAAAATATTCGTGCCCTCAAAAAAATTTCTTAAAATAATTTAAGCTCTTGTGATATTATAAGTGACAATTTAAACGACAATTTGAATAGTTTAAATAATAAAATAATTGACTTGGAAGTTAATTTAGAAGATAAAATCACAGAAAATTCCCAAAAATTAGAAGATAAAATCATAGAAAATTCTAAAGATATACAGACCAGCTTTAATAATAAAATACTTAATTTAGAAGAAAAGATAACAGAAATCCAGGAATCTTCCAGGGAATTAGAAGAAAAGATTATAGAAAATTCTGCAGAACTACAAGACAAAATAACACAAATTGAGGACGATGTAAATAGATTGAAAATCCTTTCTCATCGAACCTCTACACCCTAAAGTCAATCTGTTTTCCAAAAGCAGCTTTTCACGTCAAGCCCTTTAAGCAGGATCGGGATTAATCAATGACCAGATTTTTCGAAACACCCTGTATACATTTTTAAAAAATCTTAAAATATGTAAAAAAAACAAAATAAATTATACGTGTTTAAGCGTTTTTTCGGAAACTTTACCGTTTTTTAAATAAAAAATATTGTAATATTTGAGGGGTGGTTTCACCCTCTTAGAACTGGAATTTCGAAAAATCCCTTCTTATCGAACCTCTACAGCCTAGAGTCAACCTGTATGCCAAAATTGAACTTCTTACGTTGAGTGGTTTGAGCAGGATCGTGATTAATCAGTGAGTCAGTCACTTAAGGATTTTATATGTATATTAGTATAGATTACTGGCTTTAAACTGCAATAACTTGTTTAATTTAAATAGAACACTCTGTAAATTTTACGTGAGTCAGATGCACAATTTAATTGTCTATCAAATTGTATTATACCATTTTTTACCTATCTTTTCAAGTTTTCTTAGAAAATGCATTTTCTTATAATTTAGACTTCATTTATTGATATTGAATGAGGTGAATAAATAACCCTGTATATTTAAGTCACCCTGTATATAATATTTTAAAAATCAGGGCTACTATTAAGTACTCGCATTAAAAAAAAAGATTGGGAGTAAAAATCTTGAATACAATACCTGATATGGGACCTAACACTTGTCCACCCTGTATAAAAAAATTTTTTTTAACCTTTTTTTTGTAAATAAAAAAACCTGGTTTTCTTGTAAACTTTTTGCTATTACTAAAAAAGAAATATTTAATTTCTTCAGTACTCTTTGCTGCACCTGGAAAATACTGTTTTTCTGTACTAGGCGGCTATGGACAACAATCAACGGCCGAAACGTCAAACAAAAATACAGTTGTCAAAAGTTCTATATCGCCGGTTTAAGTTCTAAATTAAGTTCTATCGTAGTTTTTTTAAGATTTCGCATAAGAAAACAGTGTTGTTAAGTGATATCGTGTAGGAAATACAAAGAAAAAGTAAGTGAAAATGTATTTTCCTTGATTTTTTGTTATTTAACGGCAGTTTTATATGGCGCAAACCCTGAAAAGTACAAAATATTTTTTTGATTTACAGAATAGTTGAATTTAACGTGAATTTTAAGGTAAAACGAAGTAAATATAAGTAAAATGATTTTGTTTAAGCATACCAGTACAGTTTATATAAAAAATAACAATAATTTAATAAAATTTAAATAAAAAAGTTTGACGTTAAAATGTATCCATTTAAAATACCTTAGCAACAACTTTTATTTTTTTAATATTTGTTAAAATTTGACAGATTTTTTTTGTTGGGGTTATATTATAATTATTATAAGTTTATTATAAAAAGTATAATACTCAGGCGTATAAATTATATTGAGTAGTTTTCATATCATAAGAATAAAGGTCCGTACTTGATGATAACTCAAAAATAGATCTTTAACATTGTTTTTTCAAAAATATGTATTATATACGACATTGTCAGTAGAATAACCACAAAATTTTATTAAAACAGCTGTCAAAACAAAAATTAATTTTCAACCTGTCATTATAAATATAATAAAATAAAAACAATTAAAAAAATAATACAGAATTTTCGCAAATTAAGTAAAATTTAAAATAGTATTTGTGTTAATCTGGTTGCCTACAAACAAATAATATTAAAAGCAATTAATTTCTTTATTTAAGTGACTAAATACCGGGCTTTGCAAAAGTTTCTGGGGTATCTATAGCTCTTATAATATAGAACTCAAAGATTTCATCTATAAGGGTAGATCTACACCACCTTCTAAGAATATCTGTGAGAGTGTCTACACAGGGTACTCAGAAAAGGGTGATCAGAGGGTGTCCCTAGATTATTAATAAATTTGTTCTTTATTATTAATAAATTTGTTATTAATAAACATAGTTCCAAAGAAATACAAATTGACGTTCAAATTTAATCAACGCTCGGTGTTTATTACAATTGGAGAATACTTTACATTATTCTGCTATTAATATTGTCATCGTAAATTCCACAGGGTGCTCAAAGTTTAAGAAAAAAATCAGCAAATTGTATCAAAATCTTATTATATATGAAACGCAATTTCTTAACAATTGTTTAAATATGATTGTGGAATTATATAATATAGTAATATACAGTATGTCCCCAGATTGTCTCTACAGGAGAAAAAAAACTTTTTTATTATTGACATTTTGAGAAAAATGCACTCTATAAAAAAATTTTGCTTGTTCTAAAATGGTTAATCTCCTTTATCAAATTTTTTGGTTGGTCATATTTTTTGCTGTTGTTAAAGTATCACATTTTCCTATAATTACTAACACCCTTTCCGCAGCATTGCACTAAGTAAATTTTTAAACGCCAAAAAATATGACGTTAATTAAAATTTTATCAATACCAATCCATCAAGGAATGAAAACGAAGTTATATTAACATAGAAACGTCTTTTTTATTTTCAGTGCTTTTCAGAAAATTCAACCATATTTCCACGTTTTTTTATTTTCTTTAAAACGGTATAGAAACGTATAAGGATATTAACCATTTTTGACCTCACCAAGATATTATTCGATTGCTATTCCCTAGCCGTCTTTGGTGCCGTTCTTTTTTGATCATACAGTACTATATCGATATCAAAAGAATGTTCTATTCGACTCCCTTAGGTTTCCTTTTTCCATGGACCAAAACCGCTCGGACAACTCCGCCTCCAACCAGCAACAGCAAAACGTCCACCTCCACATGCACCACGTGTGCAACTGCCAAGCGGCGGGCCTCTACCCCGCCGCCTATTACCCAGCCGCTGCCGCCGCCACTGCCGTCGGTTTCCGCACGCCCCTGCCCTCCCTCGTGCCTTATCACGCCGCGCCCTCGTCCGTGGCACGCCCCTACCTCCAGCACTACCAGTACACGCAGTTCAACGTGGGCGGGCAGTACGCCGTGCCCATCGCCAGCGCCACCGCCAATTCCGTCTACGGAAGCGCCTCGGGGGGCGGGACTAGCGCCATCGACTTGGTGTACGGGTCGACGGGGGGCGTGTCTAACGGCGGAGGCGTGGCCAGCGTGGGCGTGAAGGAGAGGAGGGACAGGGAAGAGAGCGGAGGGGATAGCGAGAGGGCCAATGAGCCGCCGGAGGGGTACGATTACGGGCAGGTCACGCCTCCTGCAAATGAACTGCTTTTGAACGTAAGTAATTTGGTGTGGGTTTTATTCCAGGCTTAGTTATTGATGGTAATATACAGGGTGGTTTCGAACTGTATTCCGTAAACTTAAGTAAAAAAGTTCGTATAAATACATGTTCTAAAGTGCTTAGTTTTGGAGATACAGGATGTAGAAGTTTCATTTTTATTTCGATTTTTGCCTGAGGTTGAGCGCAGGGGGGCCTAGAGTTTTTGTTTTTTTTTAATAATTAAAAATAATTTAAAAAATGCCTTTTTTGAATAAAACGTTTACACGAATTTCTCTATCAATAAATTTCATAGACTTGGTTATCAAACCGTGTTCGCGTAGATTACTTAAATAGCTACAAATTTTCTAAAAAAAAATAAAAATCAACACATTTTTTGAACACAACAAAATAATATTAACTAAACAAAACTAGAAAACGTCATTTTTACTGCATCACAAGTAAATAAAAATTAATACGTAGCCAAGATTCATAATTCAGGGGGGTGCCCAGCAGTACATGGAGGGGGGGCGGCACACCCGGGCACCCCTGTAGTTACGCCAACGGCAAAAAATTATTACTCTTCAAATCAGTTAAAATATATGTAGGTGGCGCCCTCTACAAGTAGGAGTCATATTGACATCAAAATCAAATTTCTAATGTCAAAAAACTCCCAGACACCAATTTTTATCCAAATATTGACATTACTTCAAAAATTATTTAGAAAAAATCGAAATAAAACTTCTACACCCTATATCTCCGAAACTATATAAGCTTTTTAGGACATACATTTATACGAACTTTTTTACTTATTTTTATCTGCAGAATATGCTCCCAAAGTTTCCGGAATACAGTTCGGACCACCCTGTATATTGATAAGAATTAAAAATATCTTATTTTTGCAGGATACGACTGACGCGACTATCCAGGAAAACTTTGTTAAATTCCTGGAACGCAGTTGTCTAACTGCCGAACAAATAGCGTACAGAAATCGTAACAGACCTTGTTTCCGTAACATTCAGAACTTGTGCATCAGGACACGATCGGAAATTCTGAAACCCTGCACTACCATTTCCAACATTCACTCCCAGGGAATCCCGTGGGCCACCAAAGACTTTATATACGCTTTTGTAAGGCTGACCAACTGCTGGCACATCCTCAAAGGCTACTGGGAAAATAGAGACGGTAAAACTGACTCTATGTGGTTAGATTCTGTTACCAAAAAATTTAATTTACAGGTTCCAGCCTGGGCAAGATCGAAAAAGAACTAACCCCAGAATTTAGAGCTTGCTACGTCAGATGGGAGAAGGAAACCATCGAGTTAGCCGGTCAACTGACAAGAATTTTTTATAATCTGGACACGAACTTGAACACTGTCAGCTCGGGAGCGAGTATCTACTCGGCTAACAACTTGATACCGCCACAAGTTAGTTGATGAAGTTTTAATAGAAGTTTTAAATGATTAATTTTGTTTTTGATTCGTCAGATCAATTTGATCAAGAGTGCTTCGGAGGGTGCCATCAAGAAACAAGCCACTGTCGGTGAAGCTTCTGCTACTAGCATTCAAAGTAGTTTGGTCAATGGTAATTGTGCTTCTTCGAAAGGTGTGAGGGGTATCCTCCACTTGCCGCAAACAGGTTCGCCATCGGCTGAAACGGCCGACCAGGCTAATCAGACGTACGCCACTGACTTTTGCGGCAAGGACGACGAATTTGACTCCGAAGAAGAAAGGACCAGAAGGTAAGGTCTCTAAATTTAAATAATTTACGTTAATTTATCTGATATCTAATGTTTCAATTTTTTTAATATAGTGGTATTTTTTTCCTATTTTTTAGCAATTTTTGTTTCTAGCAATTTTTCCCTAACGATGTTTTCCCTAGAATTTTTTCAGCAATTTTTTCTTAGCAGTTTTTTCCTAGCAATTTTTTTCTTTGCAATTTTTCCTTAGCAATATCTTGCAGATTGTTATCTTAGCAGTTTTTTTCTAAGCTATATTTTGTGGCAATTTCTTTTCTAGCAATTTTTTTCGTCAATTTTCTACCTTAATTTACCCAGCAATTTTTCAGTATATTATTCCTAGCAGCTTTTTCTAGGAAATTTTCCATAGCAACTTCCTGCAGCTATATTTTCCTAGCAGTTTTATCCCAAGCAATATTTTCTAGCAATTTTTGTCCTAGGAATTTCAAAAAAATTTTTACTTTGCAGTTTTTTTTTCACAGCAAATTTTTTCTAGCATTTTTTTTCGACAATTTTATTCCTATTTAACAGTTTTTCTTAGCAATTATTTTCCTGGAATTTTCTTTCCAGCTATTTTTTTTCCTATCGCTTATTTTTCTACCAATTTTACTTGAGTCGGTATATCAATAATTTTCTTTCCTAGCAATTTTTTCCAACATTTTTTTTTCTAGCAATTTCTTTGTGATATTCTCCTAGCACTTTTTTCCTAATCTATATTTTCTGGCATTTTCCCTCCTAGCAATTTTTTTCAGCAAATATTTTCCTAGGAATTTTTTTCAGTAATCTTTTCTAAAAAAAATTCTAGTAATTTTTCTCCACAATTTTATTCTTATTTAACAGTTTTTCCTAGCAATTATTTTCCTAGCATTTTTTTTCCTTACAATTTTTTTCAACAATTTTTTTACCTAGCAGTTTTTTTCACAGCAATTATTTCCTAGCAATTTTTTTCAGCCATTCGTTACTAGCAATAATTTTTTTTGTACCAATTTTACTAGTGTTGCCGTTGATGTGACGACACATCGTAGCTCTGAGTACGAGGCTTTATCTGTGTATTAAAAATTTCACTATCAAGTATTCTCTTACATATGGTGACTTTTTACAGCACTGTCAACCCTTTGTCATCATATTTCGAACGCCATTCTTTTGTGAACATGTGAACCGTTGTATAATACCTTTTTGATTTGAGATTGTCTCTGCATTTAAAGGGTTTACATGAAACCTGGAAGTTACAGCGTGCCGAAAAAAGGGCTGGAAAGTACAAACGGTGTTCCCGGAGCTAGTCCTAGGGGAATCGAGTTTCTGGAAACCGCTCAGAACGTCAACAAGGCCAGAGAGGTGGCCAACGAGAGATATTGGGCCAACGTGCATGTCGGTTCGTCTAAAAAACAACAACAAACGCAGCAAGAGTTCAAATCGACTCAGGAGGAAGAAGAAAAAAGGCAGGAAATGGTTGAAATTGAGGTTAGTTTTCTATTTAGTTAATTTGATATTTTTATTGTACAATATAATTTATTTTATTTAATTGTCGTTGTCGATTCAATCTATATTGACTTTATTCAAATACAAAGCGTAATAAAAACGGTAACAGTATGTTGGTAACAGAATGCTAACAAAGGATGCCAGTGTCTATGCATTAAATGATCTAAGGTTTTCTGTAATATTTAGATTTTTGCTTGTATTTTCATTTGATTTTTTAATTTTATATTATTTTTTGAAGTATTTTGTTCTTAATATTTTAGTTAAATTTATCGACTCATCTAAACGTTCACGAATGGTTGATTAGCAGCAATTTTGATGAATTTGGCGAGCCAAAGTCGCCAATGACCACACAACAGGAGTTGAAGTCCTTCTACTTGGATAGTACTTACGATATACCTTCATTGGACAGTACTATGTCTTCGGACGTTAAAGGTAGTCAGGGTGGATCCATTACAGTACTGCAGGTAAAAATTTTCTATTTTTTTTAATATTTATTTTTTATATTTCATATTTTTTATTTTTTTTTTGTTGATCGTATCTAAAACCATTTTTTTTAAATACTTGTGGTGATTTAAATAAAGCACTTAATCTTCAAAATATAAATCAAACATTTTTTGTTTAAAGAATGTTTATTTTGTTAATTTTTTTTGTGCATTTGTTGTTTTTATTTGGTTTAGGTTCAACTAAAAAACAATTCTGAAAGAAATATTTATTATATTTTTTGTTTTAATGTTTTCAGAGGAGTATTATAAACAAAAGTTTTAGATATTTTTGAGTATATTCTTTGGCGTATAGTTTATGGGAATTTTTTTTTATTTCATTATTATTAAAGAATCTAAATATATCTATCCTAAATCCGGGAAGTTATGTTTCATATTGCTTATTATTTCTTTAATAATTTATGTGTTTACTGAGTCTACTGTGTAAGAAGTGTTTTTCAATATAGACTTAAAAAAAATACTTTTTCAAAGAGTATTATACAGGGTGATTCTCTCTAACTTGGAATATATTAGAGATACGTACACGTCGATTAGTATTTCGAATTGCGCCCTCTTTTATGAGAGAAAAAATTATATAGCATGTCCCAAATTTGAGATATGAAGTCATCGTGAAAAACCCTCTGTATAAAAATCTATTCCCATTTTTAGAGAACCAAGTGTTCGCCACCACAACAATCTAAACTGGGTTCTTCCACCAACGGTCGTTCGTTCAGAAAGCAGAGATCTTCGACGACAACAACGACCGCCAACGTCTCCGAGACTGGTCTCCGCAGGGTCCAAAACCCGTACGAAGTGAAGGGGGGTGGTTTGACCGAAGGGGGACAACGCGTGTTGGAAACTATTGTGGAGAAATTGAAGGGGCACGTTTTGAGGCCAGTAGCTGTCGAGGGAGAGGTAAATTGTTTTTTTTTTAATTTTTTTCTGTTTTTAATTTTTTTTTGTTTTTTTTTAATTTGTCGTATTTTTTGCTGTTTTTTTTAATATTCCTTACTCAGTTTTAAAGTTTTATTCATATTTTTATTACACAGATACTTTTTTAACTCTTTGGACTTTATTTTTTTCTTTCTTTTGATTTTTTTTAAATTTTTTATCATTCTGTTTTTATTTTTCTTTGACGCTTTTTTATTTATTTATTTTTTCTTATGTATTCTTTCTTTGCTGGATTTATTATTTTATAAATTCCTTTATTTGCTTTTTTTAAACTATTAATATTTAATTTTTATTTTTGTGTATTGTTTTATTATAATTTTTATTACACAGATACATTTTTAACTCTTTGGACTCTATTTTTTTCTTTCTTTTGATTTTTTTTTAATTTTTTATCATTCTGTTTTTATTTTTCTTTGACGCTTTTATATTTATTTATTTTTTCTTATGTATTCTTTCTTTGCTGGATTTATTATTTTATAAATTCCTTTATTTCCTTTTTTTAAACTATTAATATTTATTTTTTATTTTTGTGTATTGTTTTATTATTATTTTTAATTATTTTGTTACCTAATAAACTGTTATTTTCCTTCAAAACATTTAAATGCTACTTTCCTTTATTTCCTTTATTTAAACTATTAATATTTATTTTTTATTTTTGTGTATTGTTTTATTATTATTTTTAATTATTTTGTTACCTAATAAACTGTTATTTTCCTTCAAAACATTTAAATGCTACTTCTTTGAAATAAATTGAATTCATGTTTTTTTTTTATTCATTATCATTTAATATTTTTTGTCAATTTTATGTTTAACTTTTTATTTTACTATTTTTTTTCAGGAATTCTGTATCATTTTATATAATTAATTAAAATATTTTTTAATACTTACCTACTTGATTTTTTGTACTTTTTAATGATTTTCTGAGATAGAATTATAATTATTGTAAAATTTAAACAAAAATATGGTTTTTTAGATGGACCTGGAAAAGGTACTACAAAGAATTAAAAATATGGAATATTTCTACGTTAACGAAGTAGTGCGAGATCTCAGATACATTATCAAGGTTAGTAAACTATGGCAAAAAGAATATTATATCATGTTTACACAGATGCAAAAATTTCTTATTAAAACAATTATTTTATTTGTGTTTGAAGCAGCTTCCCATCATAAATTTGTTTTCACTATTATTAAGTAAAATAAACTCTTTGCATAGCACTCGACAATCGGTTGCATCATGTTTATATAATTTTTTTTATTTAATCGCTTTTTCATTAATTTTTTTTAGATTTTTTATAAATTTTAGTTATTTTTTTTATAAAACATTTTTCGTTGTAGCATTTTTCTATAAAGCTATTTGATTGTATATGGTACCCTACATAAAAATAATATTTTTAATCGCACTTTTCTCTTTTTTTATTTTTTTTTAGTTTTTTTTAGTAAAGTTTTTTTAATTTTTTTTTTAATTTGTCTGTTTACTGTTAATTCGTCTTTTTCCATATTTATGTTTTTATACAGTTTATTTTATTCGAATTTCTTAGTTCTAAATTAATTCAAATTTTTAAATGTTTTGGTCAAAGTTTTATTATTTCTTTTGATTTTTCTTGAATTTCTTCAGTTGTATTTAGTTTTTGTATGATCTAACTCTTTTAAATATTTTTTTATGAATTCCTATTAGAATTTAACAAATCTAATTGTTAAATTTAATGATTATTTTTCCAGTTATGGGATGAAATTGATATACACAATGCGGGTTGGTTTTCCCAAAAGTTGGACATACTTTTGGAGGAAAATCTGGGTCAGTACGACTTTAACGACATCAAGGGCGATGCCAACGAGCAAGTTGGTACCTTAAAGGCCAGCAACTCGGCCATTTTTAATAACGACTGTGATCGATTCATTTAATCTTTTTTTTGTTTTAAAACAAAGACTTTTTAAAACGTAAATTTTAAGAGTTCAAAAAATCAAAACGACAATAAAAATATTTATTTAAATTCAGTATAGTTGTAAATAAATACAAAAACAGAGTTAAATTCAAATTAAAATGTATTTATTTGTAATTATACTTTGCATGGTATGGGTTGATTGATTTACTAAACAAAAATTATATATAGAGTAGGTTTTAAAATAAAATGAACCTTAAATAAGATTTTAAAGATGTAAAAATTATAGAAAGTATCAAAAGTTAATATTCAATCACCCTGTATGTAATTAAATTAAAGCAACTTAAAAAAACTTTGTGTTACGTGTTATTTAAAAAAAATGTTTTTTCTTGTTTTAAAAATGATTTAAAAAAATAATGTTTTAATGTTTTCTTGTTGTGTTTGTTTGTTTTTTTAGTAATTTGTTGTTGTTTATTTAAGTTTGTTCTTGTTGTGTTAACGTTTAAGTGTTAAATAATTTATTGTAAAACTTCAGTGAATGATGTTTGTATTTTTATAAAAAAATGAAATAAAGCTAATTGTGATTATTTTTTGACTTTTATTTACATTTTCCTAATTTTTTTTGAAGCAGTGTATATTAACCTTATGTCTAAATTAAAAATAAAATTATACAAAGTACAGAACAAAAAAATATATAAAAAAATAATTATTAATTTGTATTAGTTGTAATACTATAGGATGAAAAAAAAATGGCGTTAGAGTTGGCTTGGAAATGAAGATCACTGTCATTTTATATCGATCAATTGTCGTTTCTAAGCTAACTTTACGCCATTTTTTCCATCATGGTTATTCAAACAAATATCAATTTATAATAAATCAAATATATGAACGCTGGTCTAATATAAAGACAATGAGACTACTATGACACCATTTATTTTTAATACTATGGTATATAGAATTCCATTTAAAAAATACAGTATGATCGAAAAAAAGGCGTCCAGTTGGCTTGGAAATAAACATCGATGACATTCCCCCTATAATTTTACATATAAAATGACAGCGATCTTCATTTCATAGCCATCGCTGACGCCGTTTTCTTTATCATACGGTAGCTTTGTGTGTAGAATGCTATACATGCGGCACCCATATTTAAAGTAAGAAAGTTGCTGTCAAATGCCGCCATATTGAAAATATTTTTAATCGATAGATCTCGTTGTTAAGCAATGATCTATCAAATGAAATTTCCGATATAAGAATCTAGGTATTGTAGTTTCCTAGAAACTTCTAATGCACGCTCAGTCTGGAACACCCTGTATACCATACCATTAAAGAAAAGTTTTTAAAAAATATATCTACATTACAAACAGATAAAATCTGGTAGATTTAGGACTGTGGATCACCCTGTAAAACAGATACTTTTTTGCAGAATATAACTTTTTTGTGTTAAAAAACTTCTGGATTTCTGTGCGTTCAAAAGAACTTTGTTTGCTTTTGAGCTCCAGGAAATAATGAAGATCCCTCTATAGCAAATCGGTTTGTAGGACAAGGACAATTAACGGGATACTGTCCCGCATCCTCCTGCAGGATTTATTAGCTCAATTTCCTGCAAAAAAAGATGGGAAAAAGTGGGATAGGAGAGGAGATGTATTAGATTTAAAGTTGAAACAGTATAGAAAAAAGATAAAAAAATATATCGTACATTTACTAGAAATTTATATCAATGTCTTAGGCTTCGACTACACGTAAGGTTTTATCTTACGACTTGTCTTTGAGTTAAAACGGATGACCTTCTAGAGAACTGACGCCAGTTTTTTTTGAAGAATATAGAATGTAGAGTGTAGAGTGTAGAGTGTAGAGTGTAGAGTGTAGAGTTAGAGTGTAGAGTTAGAGTGTAGAGTGTAGAGTGTAGAGTGTAGAGTGTAGAGTGTAGAGTGTAGAGTGTAGAGTGTAGAGTGTAGAGTGTAGAGTGTAGAGTGTAGAGTGTAGAGTGTAGAGTGTAGAGTGTAGAGTGTAGAGTGTAGAGTGTAGAGTGTAGAGTGTAGGGTGTAGAGTGTAGAGTGTAGAGTGTAGAGTGTAGAGTGTAGAGTGTAGAGTGTAGAGTGTAGAGTGTAGAGTAGAGTGTAGAGTGTAAAGTGCAGAGTGTAGAGTGCGGAGTGTAGTGTGTAGAGTGTAGAGTGTAGAGTGTAGAGTGTAGAGCGTTGAGCGTAGAGCGTAGAGCGTAGAGCGTAGAGCGTAGAGGGTAGAGTGTACTGCAGAATGGTAGAATGTACTGCAGAATTGGTAGAATGTAAAAACTTTTACTTAAGTGCACTGCTTAGATTAGAATGAATGTTTAGGAGGGGAGTTAATCACCGCGACCTTATAGATCTATTGCGTGTGCTGTTTAGATTAACTTAATAATCAAAATGGTAGATTAATCTTTTATAATTATGGTGCCGTGCAATTGCCAAGTTATTATAATTATTACAGAAATACAAACATCTAATACTGATACTAACGATTTTTGTAGTGGAATCATTGCGTTGCGAGACTGGCCATCAAAAACATTCTATGTTTTTGATAGTATTTTTTACAATCCTTACTAATCCTTTACAGCAAACAACATTAAAGAGCCTGTGTTGTTTTTGCCCTTCCTCGTGCCAGAGATCGTCGGGGGAGATCCAGGAGATCAGGCGGCTGCGGCGTCCTCTCCAGAAAAACAAGCGAAAGCGACGCACCATCGCATCGCTCTGGCCGATCAGGATTGCCGCGCTATCCGTTTGTTTTTCCCATCAGACGCGTCTTGATTTTCGTTGCCGCGGTGCGTTTTCCAGACAACAGACAGACGGTGGGCAAAAAACAATCGAAAGGGTGGCAAACAACGGGTGATAAAACAAAAGAGGGAGATAAAAAGAATAATTGATTGAAATCAAACAATAATTGTTCAATCAATAAATTAAATCAAGTGTTTGCTTTATTTTTTTTTTCGTTCTGTTTTGTGTAATGTGTGTTTTGTTCTTTCTTTAATTGATTATTTTTTTCGGTCTACGAAAATACTGGAGTAGTACTTTATAAAATAAAAAGGTAAGTATTTTTTTTAATAAAATTTGATTTTAAACAAAAAAATAACCTGGACTATGTTTACGGTGGATTTCGAACAACAGTATCCTAGTTTCAATAGTTTTTTCACTCTTACTATGAGTTAAAATCATTTTGTTTTTATCTTTTTTTAAATAATAAGGTCAAAATGCAAAACGAATATACCGAATATTTATAAAGTACCCGGTACTTAGTCTATACAAATTGGCAATTATCTTTTCAGGGCACGTATTGTCCTACCTACATTGCAAAAAATTAACTATTTAATTAGAAAAACACCAATAAAATATTCAGGTGCTTTGTTTAAATGTCGTTTATTTGTCTAGTTTGGAAAGATATAATTATTTTTCCTCAATTTTGATCAAAAACTCAAAAGAACCTTAACATTTCTCATGTATCTTAGTGTCCAAAATACTTTTTTCTGCTGGATCAATTTTGATGATTGTGTGTTCTGCTCCCATAATCTCTCTTACTTTGTCGTTGATTATTTGTTCTCTTTTCGATTTTCCAGCAGATCTCCTCCAGTAATCCATTTCGGTCGCTAATATCCTTGTTTATATATTCTTAATAGCATGTTTTCTGTTCTGCTTTCCCATTCCTCTACACTTAAGCATCCATTTTTTTAATGCTTGTTGCAGGTATATTTTGAATAGTATAGGAGATAGGCTCATTAAAAACATTCCTTTACTTTTGATCCTCATCAACACACCTAAAAATGGAGTTTATCGTTTTTGTAATGACTCTGTCATGGAAAAGTCATATTAATATTGCTTGTTGTTAATTATTATGCAGCGTGGTCCAAACTGTATTCGGGAAACTTTGGCAGCATATTCAGCAGATAAAAATAAGTCAAAAGTTTGCGTAAATGTATGTCTAAAAATGGTTGCATTTGAAACGTTTTTGTGCGAAAAGTTCAACAGAAACTGTTTTATCATTTTTTCGAAGAAAAATTTCTGATTAATTTAAAAAAATAAAAAAGTTCCCAAATTTCGCATTTCAGTCAAATATCTATCTACTCAACACGTTTATTTTTTGTCACAAATGACATCTATTGACTATTTCTATTCTAAATATCTTGAGAACGGTTGCTCGTAGCGATTTTTACCGAGAGATTGTGTATTTTTTTACACAGTAGTTCCATATAGGTACGAACGAAAAGTGATTAATAAATAGGAGTCATATTGACATCAAAATCAAATTTCTCATATCAAAAAACTTCCAGACACCATTTTCATCCAAATATTGACGTTACTTCATATATTATTTGGAAAAATCGAAATAAAAATGAAATTTCTACACCCTGTATCTTCGAAACTACGCATTTTAGGATATACATTTATACAATTTTTTTTCTACTTATTTTTATCTGCAGAATATGCTGCCGAAGTTTCCGGAAAACAGTTCGGACCACCCTGTATAGGAGAGATGGTTTCTCTAAGTCTAGAAGTTAATCTCTACCATGTTAAATTAAAGCAACAATATCTTCTGGACCTCAAACCATTTCTGCTAAGAGAGTAACTGTCAACAAACAATAATAATATTACTTTTCAATGACAATGACATTACAAAAACAATAAACATTATATCTTAGATGATCNNNTCAGTCTGGAACACCCTGTATACCATACCATTAAAGAAAAGTTTTTAAAAAATATATCTACATTACAAACAGATAAAATCTGGTAGATTTAGGACTGTGGATCACCCTGTAAAACAGATACTTTTTTGCAGAATATAACTTTTTTGTGTTAAAAAACTTCTGGATTTCTGTGCGTTCAAAAGAACTTTGTTTGCTTTTGAGCTCCAGGGAAATAATGAAGATCCCTCTGTAGCAAATCGGATTTGTAGGACAAGGACAATTAACGGGATACTGTCCCGCATCCTCCTGCAGGATTTATTAGCTCAATTTCCTGCAAAAAGATGGGAAAAAGTGGGATAGGAGAGATGTATTAGATTTAAAGTTGAAACAGTATAGAAAAAGTGGATAATAAAAAAAATATATCGTACATTTACTAGAAATTTATATCAATGTCTTAGGCTTCGACTACACGTAAGGTTTTATCTTACGACTTGTCTTTGAGTTAAAACGGATGACCTTCTAGAGAACTGACGCCAGTTTTTTTGAAGAATATAGAATATAGAATGTAGAGTGTAGAGTGTAGAGTGTAGAGTGTAGAGTGCAGAGTGTAGAGTGTAGAGTGTAGAGTGTATCGTGTGGAGTGC